CGACGCCCGCGAGCAAAGCAAGCCTGCGAGCGCTGTCTCCTCCTGCAGGCCGGGGGTTGGGACTGCGGCTCAGGAGGCGAGCACACCCTCCCCTCCCCAAGCACCCTCAAGGCTCTGGGAGAAGCCGGGACCCTCATCCTCTCCTCTCCCCAGCCTGCATTGGAAGTCTTCATTGTGGAGTCAGAAAATACTGCTTCTTTCTCACCATCATTTTTATTTAAATAAATAAATAAAATCATTATTAATTTTTACTTGAAAATTTAGCCAGAAACTCTATCCATTCTGGCTTCCCTAATGGATTTGTGCTCACGTAGTCGGCCTACTAGCAGGGATCTGGGTAGGTAGTTGAGCAGCCAGGACTCCATCCTGATATCGGATCTGGTATTGCTGGTGGATGTTTCACTCCAAGTGTCACAATACCAGTGCCAAAATAAACCTGTCTTTTTTAATTCAATTTTTCCATGACTATTTTTTTTTTCCTTTAATTTTTGCTTGAGAAACAGAGAGTGGGAGAGAGAGAGACTACAAAAAAGAATTATCTCCTAACTGCTGGTTTACCCCCTACATTTTCCCAAGGACTGGGATTCATGCTGAGGCCGGAGCCAGGGGACAGAAAGTACAGGCCTCTCAAAGGAGTACCAGGAATCCTTGAGTCGGCACTGCTGCCTCCCAGGGTCACTGTGAGCAGGAAGCTGGAGTCAGCCAGAGTCAGGAATCCAAACCCAGCCATTCTTCTTCCTCACTAGGCACTTTTCCAGGCATCCTCTCACAAGACTGACTGAAAATTGTTTGATTCAGCTGAACAGATCCTAACATGAAGCCCATATATTACAATATTTTTTTAAAAATTAAAGAATGTTACAGGGCCCGGATGGTAGCCTTGCAGCTTAAGTCGGTTCCTTGCAAGCACCTGGATCCCATATGGGCGCCGGTTCTAATCCTGGCAGCTCCACTTCCCATCCAGCTCCCTGCTTGTGGCCTGGGAAAGCAGTCGAGGACGGCCCAAAGCCTTGGGTTCCTGCACCTGTGTGGGAGACCAGGAAGAGACTCCAGGTCCCTAGCTTCAGACTGGCTCAGCTCTAGTCCTTGCTGCTACTTGGGGAGAGAATCATTGGAAGGAAGATCTTCCTCTCTGTGCCTTCTCTCTGTAAATGAAGCCCTTTTTGTAATATTCTTTTTTTCTTTAAACATTTATTTTTATTGGAAAGTTAGATATACAGAGAGATATTCCTGGTTCCTGGCATCCGATTGGCACTATTGCAGCCATTGAGGGCAATTGCAGAGTGAACCAGTGGATGCAAGATCTCTGTCTCTCCTATCTGGGACTTTTGCAAATAAAAAAATAAAATAAATCTGTGAAAAATTCTAGCATAAGGCCCTGAAACAATACACTGGAGTACTTAAAATACAGGGTTGACATTTGTACATACATTCCAGGTATTAACCTGCCCACGGCGAGGCCCGAGTGGGAGGGCTCCGCTGGGCGCCAGGCCCCTCCCCGGGGCGTCTCTGCGGCGCACGTGCGCGAGCCCCGCGCCCGCCGGCCTCCCCCGCGCCTCGGCCCCGCGCCCGCCGCCTCGCCGCCGGGCCTGCCCATGTCCGGGAGAGCTGCCCGCGCCTTCCTCCCGCTGCTCCGCGTCGCCGCCGCCGCCTTCCTGCGCCCGCACTCCAGCGCCGGCTCCCGCGGCGCCCGGCTCGTTCCGCCACCGCGTGAGTACTGCCGCCTGCCCTGGGCCCGGACAGGCGGCCCGGCCGAGCTCGGAGCCTGCCGCGCCTGCATGACGGCCGGGCCCGGCGGGTCTCCGCGGCTGACCGCGCCTCCATGACGGCCGGGCCCGGCGGGTCTCCGCGGCTGACCGGGCCTCCATGACGGCCGGGCCGGGGACGGCGTCAGGCTGCGGGCTCGGCCTTCCGCTCCCTCCTGCTTCTCCTCCTCTCTAACCTAAGCTCTTCTTCCATGGAGAGAGAAGAAGCCCTTGGCCCTGGCGGGGCCGGCGCACGTGCTTGGCCACGCTGCAGCGGCCCATCCCCACCGGCCGCGAGCCCGCTCGCCGGGGACACTTCCTCGAGTGGGAGCCGTGGGAGCGGGGCTCGAGGCTGTCCGTGGCCCCCGGCGTCGCGCAAGGGTCAGCTGTCTTCAGGGGTGGATTTGAACACGTAGCAGGGCAGAGAAAAACGCAGAGTCAAAGTGTTTCAGCCCCCTGTTACAGCACTTTATTATGGAAATTCAGCGTTACTAGGGGATGGGGCGCGCGCGCGCACACACACACACACACACACACACACCAACTGCTAATCATTTTGAAACCGTTGTGTCTCGTTGGACAGCTGAGGTTATGCACCAGTATTGAGAACAGGTGGATAGACAGTCATATTCAGTTATGGGTAAAACATCCAGCAGTCTGTTATTTTGTATTTTAAGGTTGATTTGGGTCCGGCGCGATGATGCCTTGCACGCCTGGGATCCCATATGGGCGCCGGTTCTAATCCCAGCTGCTCCACTTCCCATCCAGCCCCCTGCTTGTGGCCTGGGAAGGCAGTCAAGGACAGGCCAAAGCCTTGGGACCCTGCACCCGTGTGGGAGCCCTGCAAGAAGTCCTGGCTTTGGATCGGCTCAGCTCCAGCCGTTACACACACACCCACCCACCCTTTCCATTCAGTTGTTCTCTCCTATATGCCCACAACCGTGAGTGCTAGGCCAGGCCGAAGTCAGGAGCCTAGAACTCCACGTGAGTCTCCCACATGGTGACGGGAGCCCAATCAGCGGCTGCTCTCCTAAACACGTTAATAGGGAGCTGCTGGGAAGCGCTTGCACCTTGGGGCCACAGCGCTGCTACTGTGTTTTTTGTGTTTGACAAATCCCTTTGAACGTGTCTGGAGGCTGCGGCAGGACAGGTATTAACCAAGTAGCTTTTGCACCCGAGTTGGAGGATTAGCAATACGCCTTTGTTCCTGGTTCTCTGCGAGCATTCTTGGACTGTCGCTCGCCAGTCCGTCATGTCTAATTCTTCCTTCAAGTCTTTCTTCTGGATCTTCTCCAAGAGACGTCGCTCCCACTCTCAGGCCCCTTGGCTTAGCTCCGTGTCTTGGGCGCTTGAATGTCTGATGTTAATTTCTGTTTTGTTCTCAGACACATTCAGATGGAATGAAAGCTGCATGGGGCTGAAGGAATTTTTCTCCAGCATCTTCCTTGGTGCCAGACAAATATTTGCTCAGTAAGCGTTTATGGATGAACCGACTGATAGACTGAACCGTTTCTGGTTTCATGCATTAGGATATGGCGTGTACTCCGGATGGCTGGTGTGAGAGCTGGAGGGACTGCTGCCGGGTGGCAGCCTGTGACAGGCACCATCAGCATTGCCAGTTGTAGAGGATTCAGAAATATGACTCACAGCCTTTTTCTTTTCTTTTTTTTTAAAGATTTATTTATTTTTGTTGGAAAGACAGATCCTCTGTCCACTGGCATACTCCCCAAGTGGCCATAGCCAGTCCTCTGGTCCTCCATGCTGCTGCAGGGCCCCAACACCCTGGGCCGTCCTCGACTGATCCCCCAAGGCCACATGCAGGGGACTGAAAGGGAAGTAAAGCAGCCAGGACTTGAACCAGTGCCCGTATGGGATCCCAGTGGATACAAGGCGAGGACTTCAGCCACTAAGCTGCTGCACCAGGCCCCTCTAATACTGCTAAGGCAGAAAACCCGAGTCATAGTGGAGTATGTCGCTGATACACGTCTGTCACCGGCACTGTACCCTACCACTTCCTACTTGTTCTTGAGTGTTCTCCCTGTTCTGTCTCACTTGCTTCAGCCTTGGATCCCAACCCAGATTATGGCTGTACCCTCTCCTGTCCTTCCAGCTGAACCCCATTTTATCCTTAATGGGATGCTGTAAGATCTTTCCAGAATCCAGTTGTGGTTGGGTTTCAGGGTGTAATTGTTCTCTTTAGCCTGGAGTAGCTTCTCCCTAGCTGTAACTGCAGGTCCACTCTGTGTGTCTTACTGATGTTGCACAGTGGGTGATGTGCTTTGTAAGGTTTTCTCGGTGTTCTGTGTTTTCCCATGCCCTTGTTCATGCTGGGCCCTTGACCCCAGACACTGTTCTCCCCTTCCACTAGTTTTTTTCTGACACCCTTACTTTGCTGTCTCCTGTGTTTTCCGTGTTCTAGTAGTACCCATGTGACACCTGGTTCTTTGGGTGCTTTGCTTGGTACAATGTGTATGAACTAGTTAAGTGATAACCTACTGGGTTGAGGCTGTTGCTCTTATCTGCTGTCTCACTCCCCAGAGCGGGGGGCTCAGTCCAGGCTTCCCGTGGCGAAAACGTGTTTACGTGAGCCTTGACTTGTTGTGCAGGCCCAGATTCTGAAGCTTTCGGTCATTTATGATTATTATTTTGAATTTGTTTATTTATTTGAAAGCGTTTTGAGAGGGGAGAGAGAGAGAGACAGAGACAGACAGGACTCTCATATCCTAACATGTATAAATTGTGCATAACATCCAGGGAGCCAAAGGCAGGAGTTAGGAGTTCAGTCATGTTCCCCTTTCGCGTGGCTGCTGAAACTTTGAGCCAAATTTTCTTCACTACATCCCTAAAAGTAGTTATTGTTCATATTTTCATACAGGACTGTAATATGGAAAAACTCTGCCAGTTTTTTTTTTTTATTTAAAGATTTATTTTTTATTTGCATTGAAAAGGCAGATATATAGAGAGGAGGAGAGACAGAGAGGAAGATCTTCTGCTTGCTGATGATTCACTCCCCAAGTGACTGCAATGTCTGGAGCTGAGCTGATCCGAAGTCAGGAGCCAGGAGCCTCTTCTGGGTCTCCCAAGCAGGTGCAAGATCCCAAGGCTTTGGACCATCCTTGACTGCTTTCCCCGGCCACAAGCAGGCGCTGGATGGGAAGTGGAGCTGCCAGGATTAGAACTGGTGCCCACACAGGATCTTGGCACGTACAAGGCGAGGACTTCAGCCTTTAGGCCACCACGCTGGGCACCTGTTGTACTAGTTTTAGGTTCCACCAAAAGTGAATGCCCTCATCAGAAGGAATTCCTTAATTTTAGGATCCTGTCTGCAGAGTTGTTTGTGCTGCTGCTTTGTCAGTGATTGTTACTTCTGACCCCACCCCCCTTTTCTTCAAAGGTTTCCTTAAATGCTCTTTTGGAGCCTTAAAGTTGGATATGACCGAAATGAGTGGCGTGTCGCTGAAACGCAGCTGTGTGGTTGTCGAAGATGACGGCGCCCCAGCTGAGGAGGCCAAAAAGCAGCGAGTCTCGGAGTGCAGCCTGCCTGCAGGTACAGCTGAGCCGGAGAGTGAAAGTCTCCTCGGCACCGGAAACGCACCCGGACCCCTGGAAGCCGTAAATGCTGGGTCGGGGAACGACAACTCTGCCACCCAGTTGGAAGAAGAGGAAGAGGAAGATGGTCTTTCCGAGGAGGAGGAGGAGGAGGAGGAGGAGAGCTTTGCAGACATGATGAAACATGGCCTCACTGAGCTTGATGTAGGCATTACCAAGTTTGTAAGTTCTCATCAAGGATTCTCAGGAATTTTAAAAGAAAGGTATGTATCATTATTTCAGTTGTTCCAGGTTGTTTTTCTCTCTCTGAAAAATATATTTGAAACAGAAAAAGACGGAGAGACTTAGACACATGGGTCTTCATCAGCTGGTTCACTCCCAGATGCCCACAGTAGCTGGTGTTGGGCCAGGACAAAGCTGGCAGCTGAGAGCTCCATAAAGGTCTCCCATGCAAGTGCAGGGACCCAAGCACTTGAGCCACTTCCGTTGCTGTCCAGCATTTACGTTAATTAGCAGGAAGCTGGAATGGAAGTGGAGGCGGGATTCCGTCCCATCTTTGTAACTGGGATGCTTGCTTACCAAATTGCAGCTTTTTTTTTTTTTGTGGTACCAGTTGCAGCTTCACCGGCTATGCTCCAAACACATCTCCCCACAGTCAGTGTTGATCAAAGGAATATCCTCCTGAAGTTATTGGAGCAAATTAAAAACAATTTCCTGGTGGCCTTGCATTGTCACTGTGTGGCTGAGTGCTTTTTTTATGTTTTATGAAGATAAATTCTTTTAGAAGGTTTCCAGTTTTCTCCTGAATTTATCTTATGGGTTTTTTTTTTTTTAAAGATTTATTTATTTTTATTGACAAGTCAGATATCCAGAGAGGAGGAGGCATAGAGAGGAAGATCTTCGGTCCAATGATTCACTCCCCAAGTGGCCACAAAGCCCGGAGCTGAGCCAATCCAAAGTCAGGAGCCAGGAGCTTCTTCTGGGTCTCCCACATGGGTGCAGGGTCCCAAGGCTTTGAGCCGTCCTCGACTGCTTTCCCAGGCCGCAAGCAGGGAGCTGGATGGGAAGTGAGACTGATGGGATTAGAACCAGTGCCCATATGAGATTTTGGCACGTGTAAGGCAAGGATTTTAGCCACTAGGCCTTCTCGCCAGGCCCTTTCTTACAACTTTGAGCTCCTTCCCTCAGCTGTGCTACTTGTACAGTAGAAGGAAAGTGGTGTTTTGAAACAAAATGAGTCTAGGAGTGAGTCTCTTTGAGCCACTTAGTAGTTTACTCCACTGAGCCTGAGTTTCCTTTTCTGAGAAATGGATTGGACATCATATTGGGATTGATGAGGGTTTTCAGTAATGCATGTGAAGGCTTTAACATAACGCTAAGCTTTGGCGTAATTTATGGGTTCTTACTCAAGTAACTGTTACGATTCGGTTTGGTATAGGCTATCCATATAATGAGAGGGTTATAGAAGCTTTTATTTATCAGTGTATTTTTTTGGAGGAACATTTATAAAAGCGCTCAAGTCCTGATAGGAAACCTGAGCCAGGGTATGGTTTAGCATTGATTAGAGAGCCTGAGGGGCTGGTGCTGTAGCATAGCACGTAACGCTGCCACCTCAGTGCTTGCATCCCTTATGGGCACTGGTTTGTGTTCCCTGTGTTTGACTTCTGATTCAGAGCCTTGCTAATGTGAAAACAGCAGAGAATGGCCCAAGTGTTTGGGCCCCGGTACCCGTGAGGGAGATCTGGAAGATGCTGTTGGTTTCTGACTTAAGTCCGGCTGTTGCATCCATTTGGGTAGTAAGCCAGCGGACGACGGGCCTCTGTCTTGATTTTTTCCTCCCTCTCTGTGTCATTCTGACTTTTAAATAAATAAACAAATCAATCAATCAATAAATGGTTTTAAAAGAAAGAACCCAGAAAGCAGCTTCATATTACTTTGCATTGAAAATTTAAAAAAAAAATTTCCTTGTTTCCCTAATAGTTAAGTTTATTATTGATCAACTTTATCCTAAGATGACTAGAAAATGACACAATTGTTAGAAAGAAGAAGTTTCTCTGAAGATTCATGCTTTCTTCCATCAGATACTCCGACTTTGTTGTGCACGAGATCGGAAAAGATGGGCGGATCAGCCATTTGGATGACTTGTCAGTCCCAGCGGATGAGGAGGTAGCAGTGCTCTCTAACAACCTTCTGTTAAAAATCACACCTGCTAGTGATCATAGAAATGTAGAAATGAAAGCAGAGCTTCGGTAGCCATGGGTTCTGTGTGTGACTCACCGTGAGCTCTCGTTTTAAAGGATCCTTCGGAAGATGTATGTACTGTTTTGACAGCTGAAGAAAAGCAGCAATTGGAAGAGCTCCAGCTTTTTAAAAATAAGGAAGCCAGTGTTGCCATTGAGGTATGTAATACGCAAAGCGGAGGTGTTCTGAAGGGAGGGCTGAATGCGGTGGGCTGGGGTCATACAGGCTCTATGAAAGAAATGCTGGTGGTTTTAATAAAAGGTTAACAGGGTTGATCTTTTTTTTTTTTTTTAAAGATTTATTTATTTTTATTGGAAAGGCGGATATACAGAGAGGAGAGACAGAGGAAGATCTTCCGTCCGATGATTCACTCCCCAAGTGAGCACAACAGTCGATGCTATGCTGATCCGAAGCCAGGAGCCTCTTCCGGGTCTCCCACGCGGTGCAGGGTCCCAAAGCTTTGGGCTGTCCTCGACTGCTTTCCCAGGCCACAAGCAGGGAGCTGGAAGGGAAGAGGGGCCGCCGGAATTAGAACCGGCGCCCATATGGGATCCCCGGCGTGCAAGGCGAGGACCTTAACCACTTGCGTCACCGCGCCGGGCCCACAGGGTTGGTCTTGAGGCAGAACATGAAGACATGTTTATGTCAGGGAACATAACCAATATCCAGATAGATAGAAAGAAAAAAAAGGATGTTTAAATTTTTTTTTAGTTACTGTAAGTCAACAAAACATCTTGTTGGCATAAAACCAGCGAGTGTTAGCAACGTAATGCCTGCTGCTGCCTGAAGGTCAGATCCAAGGGGCAGCAGCAAAGGCTACCTGGGTGGGAGACCTGGGTTGCATTCTTGTGGGCATTTGCATGGCCTAGTGGCTAAAGTCCTTGCCTTGAATGCGCCGGGATGTCATATGGGTGCCGGTTCTAGTCCCAGCAGCTCCACTTCCCATCCAGCTCCTTGCTTGTGGCCTGGGAAGACAGTGGAGGACGGCCCAAAGCCTTGGGACCCTGCACCTGTGTGGGAGACCTGGAGGAAGTTCCTGGATCCTGGCTTTGGATTGGTGCTGCACCGGCCGTTGTGGCTACTTGGGGAATGAATGATCGGATGGAAGATCTTCCTGTTTCTCCTCCTCTCTGTATATCTGATTTTCCAATAAAAATAAGTAAATCTTTAAAAAAAAATTCCTAAAATTTTAGTGCCACATATTTTGTGGTTGTTTCGGTTGGGATGATACTGTTGGGTGAAGCTAGATGAGGGCTGGAGTCAGACCATGAACTCCTCAGCTTCTCACAGCCTCTGTCTCATGATCCAGAATGAGTGCCTGGCAGGTGGATATGCTCTTAGCATTTGTACTGCTGGGAAGCTCCAGAATTTTTCTGGAGTGATGCCCACACACTCTTCTTTTGCATGATCAATGAGATGAGTGTTGGTTTTTACTATTTGACAGTATTTGTTTTCCAAGTTAATCCATGTTAAATTTGTGGTGTCACTGTCTTTATTTTTGATAGGTTATTGAGGATACCAAGGAGAAGAGAACCATCATCCACCAAACTATTAAATCTCTATTTCCAGGATTAGAGACCAAAACAGAGGACAGAGAGGGGAAGAAGTACATTGTGGCTTACCACGCAGCTGGGAAAAAGGCCTTGGCAAGTAAGTTTGCATGTCCTGCCTTCTCCCATCAGGCTGTTCTGGGAGACAGCTGCTGCTTCTCACCCCCAGTGTGTTCATGTTCAAGGACGCTAATCCCATCACTCATGCAGAGAGGGTGAATGCCATCATATCACATGCCATAGAGATTCTTCAACGTGCCTCTCTGGCAGCAAGCACCTGGTCTTTTTATGTGATTTGCCAAAATTACAAAGTGGTCCCTGAGAGGGAGTTTTAGGAACTTGGTAGGTTTTTGACAAGCAGAGCTGGCTGTGGCAGTTTAGGAAGAAATGAAAGGATTATTTGCCCAATCCGTGTTTGAATGGGTATGAACAGAACATGTTTGTCACCTGTCCTGATGGTCTGTTTCCTGTAAGGTCTCTCTGTTAACAGTTGCTTCTGAACTGTGGGTAACTCCTTGATTCAAGCATACAACACCTTGGAGTGTATGGAAAGATACCCCTTGCATAGAAGCCACTGTTCATTGTGAGTCACCGTTTGAAGTGGGTGTGCTTGTCTGTGAAGCACTTTGGTTAGATTCTAAAGTGTTCACTGTAGCCATAAACGTTATGGTTGCATACAAGCATTAAGAAAAATTAGCTAACTTTCTTTTACCTATCAAGGAGGCAGATACAATTTTAGTGCCATCGATGTTAGTAATTTTCTTACCCTCATCCCTTGCCAGTGTCGGGTCCTGGTAGTGAGCGAGACTGCAGTGTGTGAGGACTGGGCTGGTGTTCCCTTAGGTTAATATAAAAACAAAAACCACTGTGAACAGATGGAGGCTTTGGTTCTAAGACTTAGTTCTAGTGAAATCAGAGGGCATGATACAGAAGAATACAGATACTGGTTTAGCTGTGCCTGAGAAAATGACCTAGTCCAGTCAGCAAGTCTGCGGAGTAATGGAGAAGCCAGACCTTAGGGTGTTGGCAGGGCACCTTGCAGTGGGCCCCTGAAAAGGACAAGTGTACTGTGGTGTCTGGAACTGCCTGCGCACGAGCTCTTGCTGCTCAGTCCCCAGACTGCACTGCTTTGTGTTCTTTAACATCGGGTCTTGGTATCAGTTACTACCTGAGCCGCCTTTCTTCAGCGCTGAATGTCTTGCAAGATGCCAGCCCAGTGGAATGTGACTTGAGTGGCTGTTGGCCTGCAGTCTCCCAAGGACGGTAAAGGGCCGGTAACTGTTGCTTCCCGAATGAGTAGCATTAGCTCTATTGCCTTTTGCATTTGTCCTCTTGATGGCAGGGCCACTAGAGGGAAGTGCCCAGCAGAGGCAGCCTGTGGTGGTCAGCAGCACAAGGCCAGTGGCCCTAAGGGGTCTGAGAAGACACAGGAAAGTCTTGCTGTGTTTCGTGTGACCAGGAGAAAGCAGACCAGAAAAGGCAAACCCTGGTTTATTTTTTGCTTTGGTTATTGAGGGGGTGCCTCTTTAGAGAATAATGGTCCTATCTTAGGGGCTGCTGGGTTTGTGAGGAGGGATGGCTGCTGGCCAGACAGGTACATCGGGCTGTCTATGGGGTTACAGGACTAAAGGATCTTGTAAATCGGTACTGGGAAATCTGCACTAGGCATTAGGGAGAGAAGAATTGTGCAACCTGCTCATCCATGTAGCGACACAGAAATCACTGGTGTCTTTGCCAGAGAATTTTCAGTGGAACGAGAGGATGGGGACCAGGTAAGGCAGTTGGCTGAAATGGAAGGCAGTCTGTACATCTGCTCCAAACCAAAGGGAATGGACAGGAATGTGGTTCTAGGGAGGGAAATGCAGGTTTGGTTCTAAGCTAGAAGGAATGTGAACATGTTTACATACTGAAGGGAGGGAGCAGAGTAGAGCGGGGGCAAGTCTGGGTGGGAAGGCAGTGAAGCAGTGAGTGGATGAGGGTTCCCAAGGGAGCTGGAAAGTTGGTGTTCAGGAATAGTGGGGAGAATGGCCTTGACTGAAGGACAAAGAATGTTGAGCGTGCCACCCGGTTCATCATTCTCTGAGAGCTACCTCCATTTTCCCTTTCCTGTTCAGGGGGCTCTCTGCTCTCTGGCTCAACATACACAGCTTCCTGGAAACAGGGTCCCCTTTTGTCTGGGTCCATTGCTGCTAACTGGGGCTTCCTTCCAGAGGTGGTGGGAACTTTTTGGAAGTAGAAAGCAGATTTCTCAGCTTGAGCATGTTTAGTACTGTACAACACTTGGATTGTAAATTGTAGTGTCTGAAAGTCATTTTTATTTTAATTGTAATAATGGTTGGAGTTTCTATAAAGCCAAACAGATTGCCCAAAGTGAAGTTGAGGTGCAATGATTTTCTGTTATTCAAAATGTCTTCAATTAACTGATGCGTATATTTTGTTTATCAAGTCCACTTAGATTAAAGAGTGCTTTTGTCTGCCAGTTGCAGAGGGGACAGTTGTATACTCACAGTGCTTGGGTTTGTTCATACAAAGTGCATGCTTGGGAATCAAAATTCATGTGCCGTTGTCACGGCTTCCCTTAAGAGAACATAGCATGTTGTTCTTTCGTCCATGTTTTCCTTTGTTCTCACCATTGCGCTTGCGAGTGCACTGAAGGGCTAGTTAAGAAATGTGGCTTCCCTGTCACCTGTTGTTGTGGATGTTTTCTTAAACTTTTGACTTGGACATTTTCGGGTATGTACAATAGAGAACGTTGCATAGGGAACCGTGTGTGTGCCCATCCCCATCCTTAGGATCCCTGTTCTGTCTGACCTCACCCTCCTGCTCTGTCTTGGGGGAATGTGCAGAGCACACTCCTGGTGGCCTGTCATTTCACCTGTAACTGTTTCAGGATGTATTTGACAGATGAGGACTGAAGCCCCAAACTATTTCTGCTGAACAAAGCAGACGATAATTTCCTAATGTGTAATACCAATTGCTTGTTCAGTTTTTCCCCAGATATCTCAAACATACTTAATATACGGATGGCTTCTTGCAATTAAAAAAAAAAGGTCAGAGCATTGTACTTGGTTGGCAAGACTCTTAAGTCATCTCTGGATCTTTTGCTATGTGAAGTAGAGAATTACTTTCTGTATAATCTTTCACCATTTTTCAAATTAAAACTACTTTGTGTAGGGCTGGTGTTGTGGCACAGCTGGTTCTGGGTAAGCTGCCTCCTATGACACCGTTACTCCCTCTGGGACTGGTTGGTGTTTCAGCTGCTCCACCTCCAGTGCAGCTATCAGCTGATGTGCCTGGGAAGGCCGTGCCGGAAGGCTCCAGTGCTAGGATCCCTGCTGCTCACATGGGAGACATGGAAGAAGTTCCTGGCTTCTTGCTTCAGCCTGGTCCAGCTTTGGCCGTTGCAGTTATTTGAGGAATAAACTCTCAGATAGAAGATCTTTCTCTGTTTCTCTCTTTCTGTAACTGCCTTTAAAGAAGTAAATAAATCTTAAAAAAAAATTCTGTGGGCCCGGCAGGGTAGCCTAGTGGCTGGATCCTCTCTTTGCATGTACCGGGATCCCTTGTGAGTGCCAGTTCATGTCCCGGCTGCTCCACTTCCCTTCCAGCTCCCTGTTTGTGTGGCCTGAGAAAGCAATAAATGAAGGCCCAAAGCCTTGGGCCCTAATGTTCACATTGGAAACACAGAAGCTTTGGCTCTTGGCTTCACATCAGCTCACCTCTGGCCATTGCAGCCACTTGGGGAGTGACCCAGCAGAAAGATCTTTCTCTCTATAAATCTGACTTTCCAATAAAAATAAATAAATCTTAGAAAAAAAAAAAATCTGTGTAATCTGATGTAGGAAACCATAAAGCCAAGAGGAACACAGAGCAAAACAATAGTTACTCGTGTTCTTACCACGAGAACCGGAAATAATATTTAGGCACAAGTGGCAATATTTTAAGAGAGACCAGTCCCGGGTGGGGAGCACTTGATCTGAACTATTCACTGTGTCACGGGGTGCAGTTCGGGCGGAGTGCAATTGGGAGGAATTTCTGACACGCCCATTGTGAAAGGGCTGAGGCAGGAGGCTGCGTCTGTAGGTGAGTTTTCGCCATGTTCTCCGCTCACCTGTGCAACATTCCATCGTTACTGTCTGAGTGGCTGTTCACCCACCACGTGGCCTGCAGGTGCTGTGAAAGTCCTCGCTGTCGACTTACCATGCGGTCCTGTGCATGTTCACCTCTAAGCACTTAAGTATTCCTATACATTAAACATTGCTCTCTTGTGCTCTTTATGCTGTGCGTTTGGACAGAGGTCAGAACTGCAGCAGGTAAGAGCCGGTGGCGTTTCTTGTAGATGAAATGAAATGCCAGTGATTTTCGTCAGCGACACTGACAGCTTTGCCCACCTGAGAAATTCAGATCGGTGTCAGAAGATACACCGATAATGCTTTTCTATCCAAGACAGAAAACACCCATGTGTGTAGCGAAGAAAAGTCACTCAGGGATCTGGGCTGTGGTGATTTTCTGTTAAGTCTTTTGTTTATAGCTTAAATCACACCAGACAGGGTTCCAAGTAACTTTGATCCCGGGAACTTAAGCCTCTGAAGAGGAGTTCATTTAAAAGGAATATCTTAGGGACAAAGATAAGGGAACATTTTTGAAAGAAGAGAGTTCTTTTAGGAATTGTGTGACATCCCCTGTCATGGTTTTTCTTTCATGGAGTTCCAGACATCTTCTGAAATAGATACGTTGTTCAAGTAACAGCTGCAGCTAACACACAGAATTCGCAAGCAGTGATAGTACGGTGCCCATGAGGTCCCCTTGTGGCTCAGAGACTCATTTTTGTTGAAGTAGCAATTAATTTGAGACATACTCTGAAGAGTTTGAATCTAAATCTTACCTTTTTCAACATGAGTTTTTCTAGATTATAGTATAATTGAAGTGTTCAACCAAGAGACTGCGGTTAAACTTGTTGTGTTTCAGCTCTGAGGAGTTGAACAGAGTAGTGCTGGCTCAAAGTAGGACTGGCCCTAGTTTGAAACCGCCCCCTCTATCCCCCCCCACCCCACCAGGGACAGTGGGCGCTAGTAATGGCTGACGTTTCTGTCAGGTCAACATTTGTAGGCCAACTGCAGCTAATCCGTTGTGATGTAAGTGGCTGTTGGGAAATCCAAAGGTGTCATTGGGCCCGCTCACAGGCTTGGTCCTTCGTCTGCTGCGTCCGTACGGCACCCAGCCTGGGGATGGTGTGACCAACTGACTGTGGGAAACAGGCCTGGCTTGGTTCGAACCTATCCACTGTTGCCTCTGTGCTTGCTGTGTTCCGGAAAGCAGGGCCCCAGCCATGGGGGGAGTCCCTGGCCGCTGCCACTCCTCTGCTGCACCACCTGCATTTGAGGTTGTGGTAGTCAGAGTGGATAGATGATGGTGCACATCCAGTCACAGAGTGCCCACCCGCTGAACCTGTGCTTCCTGTCGGGCTAGATCTGATTTCTCACTCAAAGGTTTTGTAGCTAAACGTGAGCCTTGTGGGGTTGTCCAAGAATATCTTTTATTATGGTGTATATAACATCTATTTTTTTTTTTCCTTAAGATCCAAGGAAACATTCTTGGCCAAAGTCGAGGGGAAGTTACTGCCACTTTGTGCTCTACAAGGAAAACAAAGACACTATGGATGCTATTAACGTGTTGTCCAAGTATCTAAGGTGAATATCTGGTTCCTGTGTCTGTATAAAGGTGAAACATTGGAACTGTATTTCCTCTGTCATTGCTAGTTGAGAAAGGAGCCAATCAGTGGAGAAAGCAAGCATAATTCGTATTTTTTTTAGCCAATAGGTCAACTATATACATATACCTAATATATATTTTCACCCCCATTCAAGTAGGTAATGATTCAAAATGAAAATCCTGAAAGTAAATAGGTTACATCCAGCTGAGTTACAGTCTACCAGAGAAGCAGAAATTCCCTCTCCCTTGATAGCAGGTACTTCGATGTGGTTGCAAAGCTTGGCTTTACCAAACTGCCAGCTGTCTTGGAAATCCAGAACAAGACAGGTTTTCTCACAAGAGTGAAAGTGCAGCCATGGCTCTGGTTTCTGAGTTTGGGCTGGGTGCTCAGGTTCACCCTCATGGCCTAGTTTGAACTTGATCTACCTTGGAACAGGCCTGGCGTTCAAATGTAACATAGTGAGGTGATCAGAGCCTCAACAGGTGATGTGAGGGCGGGACACAGTCTGACCTGTAACACACAGTGCTCCGTTAAGTAACATTTCATTTTGCAGTGTTTCTTAGCTGCCTGTGATAGTCCATGTTATCCCGCTGGGACCATGCCAAGGAGAAGGCGGGTGGGGAAGGATAGTTGCTGATGGAATTACATCATTGGTGAGGAGTTCACTTCCGTTTGAAATTGAGGGATTTGAAATTTGGATTTGAAGTCAGTTTCAACAATACCTCCTAGTTAACAGGCTTGCGTGTATATTCATGTCAGAGCTGCACAAGATCCTCTTGTAACTTTTTTTTTTAAGATTTTATTTCTTTGAGCCTGGTGCAATGGCTTAGTGGCTGAATCCTTACCTTGCATGTGTTGGGATCCCATGTGGGTGTTGGTTTCTGTCCTGGCTGCTCCACTTCCAGATCCCTGCTGGTGGGCTGACAAAGCAGTAGAAGATGGTCCAGTCTTGGCTCCAGATCAGGTTAGCTCTAGCCATTGCAGCCAGTTAGGGAGTGAACCAGTAGATGGGTGGACCCTTGTTTAATGAGCCAGCAGATAAAAGATCCTCTCTCTCTCTGTAAATCTGTCCTTTCAATAAAAATAAATAAATCTTAGAAAAAAAAAAGTTATTTCTTTTTATTGGAGAAACATAGTTATGGAAAGATCTTCCATCAACTTGCTGCTGGTTCACTCCCCAGATGGCCACAATGAGCTGGTGTGAAATCTCCCATGCCAGTGCAGGGTTCCAAGGCTTTTGGCCGTCCTCTCCTTCCTTGTTAGGCTGCAAGCAGGAAGCTGGATCAAGCAGCTGGGTCAGAAACTGGCACCCATAGGGGATGCCAGCATTTGCAGACAGAGGTCTAGCCAGTTAAGCTGTTGCACAGGCTGCAACACTTATAGATATGTGTTTATGAAAAAATTATATGATTGTTAATTTGTAAATAATTGAGACCACAGGTACTGTGTTAACATCTGTAGGATGACTTTTCGTTGCCACAGTTCCATGTGACCTAACAGATTGCCTGTGGTCAGTAGAAGGGGCCTCGTTTACCTCCTGCTGCTGCCAGCCTTGTCTGAGCAGTGTCAGTTACTCACTAACAGCTGTGAACACTGGACAGCAGCACTGTTCAACAAAAAGGGAATTGTTTATGCATCATCTACTTTCCTAACATTTAGATTGATTTATGCTTTCCTAAAAGCACTTTTAAAAGGTTTCTTTTTAATTTCTTCCTGTTCATGATTTTGCGTTTATTTTGAAACTGAAATGATGAGAAATGGGATTCTCCTAAAAGTATGTGACTTCAGGAGGTTTTTGTCTTGCCAGAGTCAAGCCGAACATATTTTCCTACATGGGAACCAAAGACAAAAGGGCTATCACCGTTCAGGAGATTGCTGTTCTCAAGTAAGTGGAGAGAGTGTGGTGGGACTGCGAGGCTGCAAAGCCCTGAAGGCAAGGAAAGCTTGTATGTGAAATACAGTCTTTGTGTTTTGATTTTTTTGTTCTTGTTGTTATTAGATGTTTAATGAGGTTTTTTTTTTTTTAAAGATTTCTTTCATTTTTATTGCAAAATGAGATATATATACAGAGGAGACAGAAACAGAGGAAGAACTGTGAAAGGCTTTGAAAAGAGCTTGGAGAACATTGCACATTTTGTACCTGACAGGTACTGTGGGTACCTGGCAAGAAATAAGGCTTGAAAGGGCAAGATCTGGATCCTGAAGAACCTTTGTTAGTTGTGTTTAGTATTTAGTGTAGGCAGGGAAGTTCTGTGTAGAGGCTGCTTAGGGATTTTAGGTGGAGGGGGATGGGTAAAATTGGAAACCAGGCTTGTTGCCCATCGTACCACTCACAGACATGAGCCTGAAATCAGCTGGCTACAAAGAATGGAGAACAGGATGAATTTAGTAGCTGTGGAATCAGACGAGCTTAGGCTTTGATTTTTTCCTTCCTTCCTTTTATCTTGCCTGCCTGCCTTCATTTTTCTCTTAGAATTCCCATCTGTGATTCATATTCCAAAAGCCTACAGAGTTTGGAGCTGGACTTCGGCTGAAGCCAGGAACCAGGAACTTAATACATGGCAGGAACCCAGAACCACGTACTGAACACAGACACTCTGATATGGGATGTGGGCTTTTTGACTGCTAGGCCCAGTGCTGTCCCTGTGGTCAGGAGTGATGGGAGGACGACTTGATAAAAGGACAGAAGGAAACATTTGATGGAGACACATTCATTTTCTTGAATGAGTTAAATATGTAGTTTATATGTGCCTATTGCTTTGTAGTTAGTCATCTGGGGCTGGTGGTCAGCCTAGCATTTCAGAGACCAATTTGGATGCTTGCATCCCATTTTGGAATGCCTAGGTGCTCTACCTGGCTGCAGCTTCCTGCTTGTGAAGACCCCGCGGAAACAGCACTTGGGGCTCCCAGCTGCAGCCTCAGCCAACCCTGACCATTTTGAGCATTTGGAGTGAACCACTGGATGGGTATTCTCTCTTGCTTTATCTGTCTGTCTTTTCCCCTTCTTCACCTCCCACTTCAAATTTTTAAAAATCTAAAAGAAGCAAAAAAGAAAAAGTCACATGTTTACTGTATATGTGAATATATACATATCTTAACCTAACAGTTGGTCTCTTTTCCCTACCACTTTTTCCCCTTCTTATTCTTCTTAAAGAATGGTTCTGTAGTTATTTGAAAGTCAGAGAGAGAGATATCCTCTATCTGCTGATTCACTCCCCTGATGACCACATCAGCCCCAGCTGGGCCAAGCAGGAGCCAGACATAAATCATCCCGAAGTTTGAAATTGTGCTCTTCTGAGCAGTGGTGAAATCTTGCCGTGGATGTAAATTGCATTTCTTTGTAGCACGTAGAGCTGCCTGTGCCACTCGTTCATCAGTAGCCAGCACGGTGATCAGGTCATGGTACTGCAGTGTTCTATAGAATGTGGTATTGTCTGTGTGGTCTCAGGCATCCACTGGGGGTTTTGGAACATAATTCCCCAAGTGGGAGGGGACTGCAGGACAGCTTTGGCTTTTTGCCATGCCAGGGAGATTCGGAAATAGATGTCTGTGGTGCAGTCAAGGTAACACTCACTATAAAAAGAAATGCAGTACTGGCACTTACTTCTCAGAAAAGCCTTAAAGCTCCATATTGAGTGAAGAGGTGAGACTTCAGATTGTGCGATTCCATTTATATGAAATGTCCAAGAGCAGCTGCACTGAGAGAGAGAATGGTAACCTTTGTACATTGCAGCTATTATGAAAGCCAGTGATATGTACCCGTTATTGGGTTGTGGTGGTGAAGCTTTTGTTACCCTAGCAGCAGAGTGGTTGGGCATTTGCAGGGAGCAATCTCTGTCGTACTCCAGGACATCCAGGTTGCCTCTCTAACTTCTTCCTGGCCTTTAACTCATAACTATCCTGTCAGTGCGTACAGCCATAGTGAGCTCTGTTATATGGAATTGTTGTCTGCCACAGTCCCTTTTCTCCTGCTCCCCACAGGAAATCAGCATTTGATCTTATATCTCTGGTAGTATATAATAAGAAGCTTTAAGCTTGTAATGTACAGCCCAGATCATATTGTCGCAGCTGATACACTGTCACACTGAAGAAACCTTTCGGAAGGAAGGAGTGTGCCTGCCCTGAGCCATTGGTGCCTTTTCTTTCGGGTGCTTACAGGTTGCGGGTAGGGCTGCCTCCTGCAGCTAACGGTCCTTCGATTCCTGAGCTAGGAACTAGCTCCTAATCCTCTGCTCTTTTTCCTTACAGAATCACTGCACAAAGACTTGCACACCTGAATAAGTGCTTGATGAACTTTAAGTTGGGGAACTTCAGCTATCAGAAAAACCCACTAAAACTGGGAGAGCTTCAAGGGAATCACTTCACTGTTGTTCTCAGGTAAAGAGCTCAGCCTGCTGTGCATAGCAGAGCGCCCTGTCGGGGTCACCTGCAGTTCCAAGGCCCAAGCTTTCAGGGACTAGGCACAGTGAGACCAAGGGAAGGCAGAGCAGGGTCTGACAGCTGGGAGAGCAAGAACACTACTGCTTGTACTGAACACACGCCTCCCCAGCACATCCTTGGCGAGGTACCCTGTCCTCCAGTGCTGTGCTGAAGGCAGCCCAGAATGCCTGGGTAAGGTGCCTGGACCAGGCAGAGCCACAGACAGGGCAAGGACGTGGCAGTCACTAGGGGAAGCGGAGGAGGGGAGAGCTGTGCTGAGTTTTCAGTTCAGAACGCTGAGGAAGTGTTCCAGGTGGTCCAACACTGTGGATTTACTAAATCCAGCTGAATTGTGAACTTTTAAGTGGCAAAAATGGCAGATTTGCTGTTTTATTTATTTTACCTCGCGTGAACAAAGGACAGACCCTCAGAAGGTGGAGAGAAAGCTGCACGGTGGTGAGGGAGGGACACACAAAGCAAGCCGTAATTGTTTGTGGGACACATCCCTGTGTTGGACTGTAAATGTGTTTGTTTTTCCAATGACTGGACCCCTGCAGAAATATAACAGGAACTGACGAGCAAGTACAGCACGCCATGAACTCTCTCAAGGAGATTGGATTTATCAACTACTATGGAATGCAGAGATTTGGAACCACAGCCGTCCCCACGTATCAAGTCGGAAGGTATGGATCTAATGTGTTTTAATGCCTGAAAGAAATCCAGTGGAAAAGGTTAGTTACAAGAGAATTGTTGTTGATCTTTTCAAGTATTTCTGGATTCCCTCATGTCTGAAACAGGCGAATCACTTGTGTTCTTTTCGGATGACCAAATGTTCCACTGGCTTTTAATTTTTGTTTCAAGAAACTCATATACGCAAGGTAAAAATTATGAGAGTTCAGAATGATACCCCACATTTTTTTCTCCCTCCCCTGATAATATCCAGGAAGCGTGTTTTTGTAGCAGGTGTGTTATGGGGTTAGCGGCCCAGGAATAAGCAGTTGAGTAACTGAGACCCAGAGTGGCCAGAGATGATGCTTCTCAGTGTACGTGCTGAAGGTGATTCTCAGTATGGGACAGCTTGAATAGAATGTGGCTGCTGAACTCAGGCAGTTAATTCCCAAAGCCAGGAAGTAATGGTACCAAGAGGGCACAGGTTAGCAAAAGTAAAGCAGGTGAGTTGGACTTTGTCAGAGTGTCTTTTATACAAAGGTTTGTTTCTCTGGATTTGGTGTCTGGAAGGTGGGCCTAGAGGGTCTTGGAAGGGAGCTTTCAGGGCAGTGTTGGTTATGTAACTGAGACGGGTCTGGTTCCCTCCCTGCTTGCTGTGTGACCCTCCACACACAGTCCCCAGAGACATCTGACCCCGTGGGGCAGCCTTATACTGGATTATGTACCACCAAGACCAGGAGCCAAAATAACCTTTGTTGTAAGTAGCTGCACTTAGGTATTTCCATTGTGGTATCCAAAAGCTAATGAACTCATTTATTTTATTTTTTTAAGATTTATATATTTTTATTGAAAGCTGAGTATACAGAGAGGAGGAGAGACAGAAAGGAAGATGTTCCGTCCAATGATTCACTCCCCAAGTGACCACAATGGCTGGAGCTGAGCCAATCCGAAACCAGGAGTCAGGAGCTCTTCCAGGTCTCCCACACGGGTGCAGGATCCCAAGGCTTTGGGCTGTCCTTGACTGCTTTCCCAGGCCACAAGCAGGGAATTGGATGGGAAGTAAGGCTGCTGGGATTAGAACTGGCGACCATATGGGATCCCGGGTGTGCAAGGCTAGGACTTTAATCACTATGCTATTGTGCTGGGCCCTGGGCTCATTTATTAAATGTTAATCTTCCCCACCCTTTGAAGAAAATGGTGAAGGACATAATTAGGGAAGTGAAGTTAATTTTAGATGGTGAAGTCAGGCATACATTCTGAGTCTTCAGGTACTGAGCTATAAAAATCCTACTGTATCATGGAAAATAATAAAAATAATTTTTAGAAGTTAATGAAATTGTGTTGTATGAAACAAAAGTACTTACGATTTCAAATGTTTTTGTACCAGAATAAGCTTAACCTTTAATTGCATTTTTCCACAAAATTTTTGAAATGTCTTTATACAGCATGATACACTCCAACTTTAAAACTAAAGTTTCTTTTTAATACATGCTGTAAAATAAATGTTGACTGTGCTCCCTGAGAAAAGGCAAGCACAAAAGGACAGATATTTTGACTCCTCCCATGGGGTTTCCTGCACTAGTCAGGCACAGAACAGAACGACGGCTGCCTACAGTCTAGGGGAGAGGGGAGTGGGAATTTATTGTTAGAAGAGTGTGGAGTTTCAATCAGGAAAGACGAAGTGGTGGAGATGGACAGGACTAATGGCTGGACATCCCTGGGAGTGTACTGAAAGTCAGCTGTGTGTTTTCAAGTGTGCAGCGTGGAGATGTCTGCCCGTTGCTCCCACAGAAGAAGGTGGAAGAAGGAGAGAGCAATGAAAGCACAGAGCGCCTGGATGTGTAATATGTCAGGATGGGCTACGCTGAAGTAATAAATACGTACTGACTCTGCAGTGTCTGGGGCTTTCAGAAGCGCTGAGAAGCACCACAATTAAAAGCCCTTTCACTCATGAGTTGTACCAGATGCTGGCAAAGCGTTTCTGAGAAGGGCAGCAAGTACGCATCCCGTGTCCATTGCAGCCTTACTGTGTCAAAGCATCCAGACACACAACACACGAATGAACGAGTGTAGCTGTTTTTCTGGAAGCTTTGTTACAGGATCAGATGGACAACTACATTTGGCCTACAGGCTGCCTTTTTTATAATTAGTACTGTTTTCTCTCTTTTTTTTTGAGTCCTTGAGCCTATAAGTCTGCATTTTTCAAAGCAGGTGCTTGACATGGTTGGATGAGTCGCTGCTTGTGACTTGTACATCCCATGTTGGAATTCCTGGGTTTGAGTCCCAATCCCATCATTCTTGGACTGTGTAACTGGGAGGCGCCAGTGATAGCTCTAGCTGTCGAGCCTCTGCCACCACGTGGGAGACCTGCATTTAGCTTCCAGTTGTTGGCTTAGGCCTGTCCACTGCACAGATTTTGCAGGCTTTTTGGGTAGTGAATCAAATTGTTTTGAAATTATTTTTTTATTTGAAGATTTATCCTTTTTTTTTATTGGAAAGTCAGGTACATAGAGAGGAGGAGAGACAGAGGGAGATGTTCTGTTTGCTGATTCACTCTGGCCACAACCGCCAGAGCTGAGTCGATCTGAAGCCAGGAGCCTGGAGCCTCTTCCAGGTCTCCCACACAGGTGCAGGGTCCCAAGGCTTTGGGCTGTTCTTGACTGCTTTCCCAGGCCACAAGCAGGGAGCTGGATGGAAAGTGGTGCTGCTGGGACCAGAACCGGAGCTCATATGGGATTGTGGCACATGCAAGGCAAGGACTTTAGCTATTAGGCTACTGTGCTGGGCCCAAAATAAATTTTTAATGCATTTAAAAAAATATTAAGACCTAGCCCAGGAAGATTAACTATTAAGTAAGATAATTAAAATCCACAATTAATTGGAAATCAAAAATTAATAGAAAGTAATTTCTGGATTTTAATAGGTAAAACTTCTGTAAACATGATCCAAAGATCAGAAACCTTAAAAGGACAAATTTTCACAATTATAAACAAAGTGCAAGTATGTAGAAGAGGTTAGTACGCTACGCATGAGAAAGTCGAAGGAAAGTGCATTGTTGCTACACCAAAAATGTACAAGAATATGTGTTAACAGTGTTCAATTTTTAAAGGTGGGAGAGCAGGTAAACTTTCCTACATATTAACTTGCATTTTATAATGAAAAGTAAAGATTATCTTATTGTAATGAAAACAAGGATATTTGTGTAGAGCGATGTTTTATGAGAGGTTTCAAACGTGTTTTTGTATATAAAAAGTTAATCTTGGTTCATAAAGATACTGCATGTAACAGCTCAAGGCCTAATTATGTAGTATTTATAATGTTACAGAATTTTGGAACTGGAATGGTATTAAATGATTGGAGTAAGCATATTGTTCTTAGGTTTTTAAAGTTGTTTTGGCATGTGCATGTACCATCTGTAACTTTAGTCTTCTTGCTTTTAAGTTTAATGTAAAGTTATTAAGACAAGTTGATGCTTCAGTGACATACGCATGTAGCTACTTAATTCAAAATCAAGTAAAATAAATGCTGTTTAATTTTAGAGCTATACTGCAAAATTCCTGGACAGAAGTCATGGATTTAATATTGAAACCTCGTTCGGGAGGTAAGAATAAAATAGTACAAATGCATGGCTGTGTATTCATGGATTTGCCTTGAGTAAAAGCAGAGGTGCAAATTTTAGTAATTGTTTCAGAATTTCCTTGTTGTTACAGTACGATTAAAAAGATGGTGTATTTCTTCGTATTTTTAGAAGTTGATAGATCTATTTAATTGAGATTTATCATTTGTCTTCCATTTTTTGCTCTTTGGCTCAATCTAATTTCTCAATTCATGAAGGAATAAATATGTTAAAGTAATAAAGTAATTTTCTTTCCTCAATAAACAAAGGACCATCCACCTTTGATTGTTGTGTTTCAGCCTCATGACTTGGCATAAATTCCTTTTTAATTTCTGGTGTGTAGCATTAGCCACAAACTTTGCAACGTACTAAAAACTAGATAAAGGGTTTAACTACTGCTTTACAAGTTGTCAAATATAACTGTGTAAAAGTAATTGTGCTCAATTTGGGTGATCATTCATTTGTAAACTAAAAAATGATGTGATTTTAAGAAATGTTAGTTATTACATTTGAAAGCAAGTGGGAAAAAGAGAAGCTAAGAAGTCAGAACTGCAGATTTTTGTCAAAGGTTGAGCCACTCATGATAATGAACAGTAAGAAAGGTAAGTGGCTTTTTCTGTTGGCTGCAGCAGTGGCATGTTGGTTGAGCCAATAGTTGTATGCAGCCTTTCTGCGTTGGCCGCGCCCTGAGAGTGCTTCTAGGGCCACAGAAGTGCTTCCCAGCACCTGCACTACCACTGGCGTTTTCTAGCTGTGTGTACTCTGTGAAGCTGTTAAATTATCAAAGTTTTGGTATCAGACACGTTGTTTAATCACAGCCCTTTTCTCCCCCACAGCTGAAAAAGGATACTTGGTGAAATGCAGGGAAGAGTGGGCAAAGACCCGTGACCCAGCTGCTGCCCTCAGAAAGCTGCCAGTGAAAAGGTGTGTGGAGGGGCAGCTGCTTCGAGGACTTTCAAAATACGGAATGAAGAATATAGTTTCTGCGTTTGGCATAGTGAGTGCGACCTATGAAGTCGGGCAACGGCCTGAGACAGCTTCATGCTCTTACTAATTTTGCCTTGAAAGCTTTTATTGAATGGAAGGAGCAGAAGGGAAATAAGGAGCCTTTGGGGATCCCCAAGAAGTGATTTATTCGGGGGATACTCATTCAGACCCTGGAAAGGGATGAGTAATTGGACAGGGCAAAGCTTGGGTTACTTATTAACAGTGAGGACACAAGGAAGCATTCATGTATAGGCTGTGATGGCTGATGGGAAATTAAATGGTCATGTGAGACGCTCAGTATTCAATCCATAGTCCTTTCTGGATCACGTCTATCCATCGGACTGTGCACTGCTTGAGTGAGAGGATCAGTCTAAAGATTTATTTATTTTTATTGGAAAGGCAGATCAGATTTATGGAGAGGAGAGACAAAGATCTTCCATCTGCTGTTTTATTCCCTAAATGGCCACAATGGTCAGGCCAGAGCAGAACTGATTTAAAACGAGAGCCAGGGGTTTCTTTCAGGTCTCCCACATGGGTGCAGGGTCCCAAGGACTTGCGGGTCCCAGGAAAGCAGCAGAGGATGACCCACTTGCATGGGAGACCTGGAAGAAGTTCCTTGCTCCTGGCTCCTGGCTTTGGATCAGCTCAGTTCCAGCTATTGCAGCCACTTGGGGATCGAACCAGTGGATGGAAGATCTTTGTCTCTGTCTCTCCTTCTCTCTGTAAATTTGCCTTGCCAATAAAGATAAATAAGACTTAGAAAACAGCAGAGCAAAACAAAAATACCAACAATATTCTTGCTACATAAAATTTGTGGTCAATTCTGTCACTTAAATCTTCTTAAGAACTGCAGGACATATAGTACTGTTAGCTCAGTGATTGGTTTGTCAGTCCTTTGAATTTGAAGGTGGAGTCTTTGGTTGAGGGTGTAAACTCTGTAAGAGTTGTTGAATTTGCAGGTGTGTGTGCTTTGTGGCTAACCAAGCCAAGTGCTGTGAGTGCTTGCAAGCTATAACACCGCCTGCTCTCAGCACTTCAGTCTCTGTAATGTTTAACGCCTATATCAGTCACTATTTCTCCAGGTAATTAGAAAAATGAGATTTAAAGTATGAATTTCTGTCCAAGGATCATTATTAAGATGTACTGAACAACAGTGCAGTTCTTTTTATATTCAGACTATTTTTTTTTCCTTGCACTTTTTTTTTCCCAGATACCAAGAAACAATCGCTTAATGTATATTCATAGCTATCAGAGCTATGTGTGGAATAACATGGTGAGCAAGAGGATAGAAGACTACGGGCTGAAACCTGTTCCAGGGGACCTTGTTCTCAAAGGAGGTAAAAGAGCAAATGTAGCTTAACCAAAGTAGGATTCGGTTGTTTGACTTGAACGACTTTAGTCTCACCTGACTACTAATTGATGGAGGGACAGCTAATACATCTATTAGTTGGTTTGTATTCATACCTTTAAATGAAAATGTGCACATCTCTCATTTGAAGAGAGCCTGTGGACTCCATTTGTTCAACTACAGTAGTTGATTTTTGACCAACTAGTAGCAAAAATCTGTTTCCAAACTTCAGTCTGCGTCTATCAGATATGTGTGCCTACCTGAGTATATGGCAGCCTCTCGGTTCGCTCTCAACCAGGACTAGGGGATTTCCTCAAGTGCAGGTCAGACTGGAGCCAGCTTGCCGGGTGCACCACGATCGCATGAGTGTGTGACACAGCGCCAGTGTCACGGTTGCTGTGGATGGTGGCTGTCCTGCACCGAGACCTTTGCCTGGATCTTCTCATTTAAGCCTCACAGTGTTCCTGATCCTTTTCCGCATGAGGACAGTCATTTGCCCAAGGCTCCTCCCACAGCTAATTTAAAAGTGGAAAAGCTGAGGTTCGGAGTCAAGTCTGGCTTCAAGGTTATTGTTCTGTTGACAGCCTGGCTACCGTCCATCGGCTCATGCAACTCGTGACTTGCTTGCAGACTTTAAAAACACACTAAGGTTTTTAATTTGTTCAACAGTCTCTTTTTTTCTACTTTTTAATTAATCAGGTTAATTAATTTTTTAAATTTGAAAGTCATATTCAGAGAGGAGGAGAGACAGAGAGGAAGATCTTCTGTCTATTGAGTCACTCCTTAAGTAGCCTCATTGGCCAGAGTTGCGCCGATCTGAAGCCAGGAAACAGAGCTTCCTCGGGGTCTCCCACACAGGTGCAGGATCCCACAGGTTTGGGCTGTACTCGACTGCGTTTCCAGGCCATAAGCAGGGAGTTGGATGGGAAGCAGGGATGCTGGGATTAGAATCGGTGCCCATATGGGATCCTGGTACATGCAAGGCGAGGACTTCAGCCACTAGGCTACCACGCTGGGCCCAAGAATCTTTTTTTTTCTAAATCCAACATTTTCCCCTCACTCAGTATTGATCAAATTTGGTGTATTCTAATGTCCCATTTGCCACTGTATTTTATTTTTTAAACACAGGCTTTTTGAAAGATTTAGAAATGTATGTGTGTATTTGATAGGCAGTGTGACAGATAGTTAAGATAGGTGAATTGGCAGATCGATTCCTTCATCTGGTAGTTCACTCCCCAATTGTACACAGCAAGTCTGGGTCAGGCTGAAGCCAGGTACCTGGGAACTCCAGCCTGGTCTTCCAGGGCCTTCCCAGCTGCGTTAGCAGAAAGCTGGACTGGCAGTGTCAGCACTCAAACCAGCACTGTGTGGTGGTTGCTGGCATCTTAAGTAGCAGCTGAAGCCACTAAGCCACAAGCCCCATCCCAGGCCATTTTTTAAAAATTGTTTATTGTTTAAAAAAGTGCATCAATTTATGGATGGCTTTCCGAGGGTCTTTTGTAATGTTGAGAAGGGCACAGGATCTGATTCGCAATAGTGGGTCTTGCTAAAAGAGAAGAAATAAACATTGTCCAGGGCCATGTGCCATGAAATATGAGGTCAAACCTCTGCCTGCAGTGCCAGCATTCCATATGGGCTCCTGTTCGAGTCCCACTTGCTCTCCTTCCAACCCAGCTTATTGCTAAAGGCCTAGAAAAACAGCAGAGGATGATCCAATTATTTGGATCCCTGGACTCATGTGGGAGACCCTGCGAAAGTTCCTGGCTCCTGGCTTCAGACTGGCCCAGTAATGACAGTTGTGGAGTGAAGCAGCGGATGGAAGGTCTTTTTCTGTCTCTCATTGCACTTTTCAAATAAAAATGAATAAATCTTTTAAGCAAAGAAATAGATAGTGTTTAGTTTTCACTAAGAGCTCTCTCAGTCTTTAGCAAAGTCTTTAGCAAAGACAGTGGATATGTCTGCTAACTTACCTTACTCTTACGATGTTTCCCAGGCCACTGATCCTGTACTGATTTGTACTTCTGACTTAAAGATACACATGTAATTTTAGGAGACCGAAAATATTGTCTGTTTTCTTAATTTTTCTTTTTTTTTTTTTTTACAGCCACAGCCACCTACATTGAGGAAGACGATGTTCACAATTACTCTATCCACGATGTGGTGATGCCCTTGCCTGGCTTTGATGTTATCTACCCGAAGCACGAGAGTAAGTGACCTGCGTGCGGAAAGCACTTCCGGCAAGTGTAACGTGATTAAACCACTGGCTGCCCAGAGTGGAAGGAAGGAGAACAAAGTCAATACTTTAAATCTAATTTTCTGTTAGAATCCAAGGCTGACAAGAATCAGGGAGGTTCTGATGGAAGCCACAGAGTCCAGGACCTGGAGTTCTACATTAAAATACAGGAGAAGGGCATCGGACTCTGGGAAAGAGCGAAGAGTCCTCCATTCTCTTGGCATTCCATCCAGGATGCCAGGCAGTGGGATGGTGGCCACCCACATGGAGGGTGATCTGTGCTCAGCCTGCCGACTCCGCAAACACTGACCTCCAGACAGCCTGGTGTTATTCTTTTCTTTGATTTTTTTTTCTTAGCTTTATTTAGACTCTCTTCCATATGTCTGATTAATTGCATGTCCTTGAATACATTATCTTCCAGTTGTGATATTCTTTCTTCTGTCTCATTGATTCTATTGGTGAGGCTTTCTGTTGACTTTTTATTTTGCTCTAGTGTATTCTTTAGTTCAAATATTTCAATTTGGTTTTGTTTTATAGTTTGTATCTCTAGTGATACAGTCCTTAAATTTGTTGACTTCTTCCCTTTGTCTCTCACCGTCTCTGAAGAGTTCTGTAATGATTTTTTGTATTCCTTGTCTAGAAGATTTTTAATCGCTTCCTCCTGTCGCTCTAAGATTGAGGTGATCTTTTGCTCATGTTTGAGGGAAACATTTTTTTCTCACTTATGTTGCTTGCTGTTTTCTCCAGAGCCTTTCAGATCTGCGGGTCTTCAAGCCAGTTTTTGTCTTTACGTTGTGCTTGTGGCTTCCAAATACGGGTCGGGAGGCTTCAGCCTCAGTGTGGTCGGTGCTGCCTGCCTGGCTTCTCAGCTGCTTGTGCAGTGTTCCTCTCTGTCTCGCTCTGCTCGCTGTCTGTGGGGCAAGCAGGTCTGTGGATTTACTGCTGATAGCTGTGCTAAGGTGGCTGCTTGGAAAGTTAGCTCTGCCAGTAGTTTCCCAGTTACTGAGTTACCAGGGCTGCTCAGATGTGCTACCAGGCGGCTCCTGCTGCCGGCGTGTGTGTCCCTGCGGGACTTCACCCACCAGGCTTGTATCCCGGTGGGTCCCAGTGTTGTATCTGAGCTGCTAGGCTTTAGCGCTCACCGATGTGAATGTGTCTGAGATGGATGGGAAGAGGGCTGCCGGGATTAGAACTGGCGCCCATGTGGGATTCCGGTGTGTTCAAGGTGAGGATTTTAGCAGCTATGTTATTGCGCCAGGCCCTCGGATCTCTTTTAGCACATTTATTTTTAGCTTTCTCTTTCAGAGGGTGTTTGAAGTCTGTGTATTGGGTGTGTTTCAGCTGTCACTGTGTACAAACATAGTTCAGTAATTCTGGGTGAGGTCGCCCTTTGCGGTTAGCTTGGCAGTGTACCGTGGTTGGTTGCAAAGTTACCTTGCAAATTGACCAGACCAAAGCTGGGGTTCTGTTCTAGTCCCTGATAAAGTAGTACATTCTGACTCCACTGAACAGATTTTCAGATTACAAATTATGATGACTGATTTACGTAGTACCATCTCTAGCTGAAATTGACATCTTGCTCCATTAGTAGTCTCATCGAAGGAAACGTGCTGATGGGCTGCATTGTAACACACTTTCTCTGTTTACTGTCAGTCAGAGACGCCTACAGGGAGATGCTCACAGCAGACAATCTTGACATTGACAATATGAGACACAAAATACGGGATTATTCCTTATCAGGTGCCTATCGAAAGATCATCATTCGTCCTCAGAATGTCAGCTGGTGAGTAACAGCCTGGAATGAAACACAACTGAGTTATCCTTCCTTCCGAGTAACAGTTTCTATTTGAGGTTCCCATGTTTTCCAGTGCTTAGGACCCAGCAGATAAATGTTTCCTAAGTGTTGGATGTTGTTCTTACTGCGACTGCTGCTAGGTGTTCTTCACATCGTCAGGAACTAAACCTGCTGCTGTGAATGCAAGCTTAATAGCACTGCTGAATTACTGAAGAAATCTGTACAGATGAATTTTTTCTTCTATTTCTAAAACAAATGTGCTGATATATGTCTCTGAGCAGATTACCTCAACTCCAGTATTAATCAGTTACGGATCTGATTGCTGTATTCTTCTCAAAGTGTATTTATTATTTATTTGAATGTCAGAGTGATGGGAATTGGTGGGCAGGGAGACCTTTCATCCACTGGTTCACTTACCAGATGGCTGTAAAGGCTAAGATAGGGTCAGGCAGAAGCAGAAGTGTAGAACTCCAGCCAGGGACTCGGGGACATGGGCTGTTTCCCACTGTGTTTCAAGGTGTATTAGCAGCTTGAAGTCAGAAGTGGAGGGCTGGTGTGGTAGCCTCATGGCTGAATCCGTGTCCCGGAGACCCCACTTCCCATCCAGCTCCCTGCTTTGTGGCCTGGGAAAGCAGTCAAGGATAGCCCAAAGCCTTGGGACTCTGCACCTGCGTGGGAGACCTGGAGAAGCTCCGGACTACTTGCTTCAGATTGGCGCAGCTCCAGCTGTTGCAGCCACTTGGGGACTGAATCAACGGACAGAAGATCTTCCTGTCTAAAAAACAAACAAGCAAACAAATAAACAAATCCGAAGTAGAGCAGCTGAAACTCAAACATCACCTATGGGATGCTGGTGTCACAGGTGGCAGCTTAACTCACTGTACCATGAATCCAGTCCTGATTATTTGACTATCATGTATGGAAAGAAAGAAAAACACTTGTATTCATTTTGAAATGTTTTTATTAGCTAGAATTACTTAAGATGTTATTATTTCTCCATGAAATCTTCATACTAGTCCCATAGCCAGTATTTTTTTTCTTTCTATCTCTTCCCTCTTCTCCACCCTGCCCCCCCTTTTCCCCCTTGGTTGTGGGTAGGTTAGCAGAATTGGCCTTGGTTTTCCGAACACCAAAGTGTATTCATTCATTGGCAGTAGATTATTAGTACTGATAGTCATGCATCTTTTACATGAACCAGCATCAGCTGTCTTGATGCTTTATTGGAGTGTAGAGACAATAATTATAAATATCTGCCGCTGTTCTGTTTCAGCAATAGGACCTGTGATTATTTCCCATGAACCTGTGGGGTTTTGCTTAAAAATAACTGGTTAAGAATAACATACTACCTCTTCTCATGATGCACACTCAAACTCACTTTTTGTTTGTTTTGAAGGGAGGTTGTTACATATGATGATCCTAAAATCCCGCTTTTCAACACGGACGTGGACAACCTAGAAGGGAAACCGCCACCCGTGTTTGCTTCTGGTAAGTCAGTTTCAAAATCAGTTCTCATGCAAAACCTTGTTTACTTCTACGCACACCACAGCTCACCCACTCCTGTCACTTCTGTGTTGTTTTGTCTCCTTAGCTGTCTAATCAGGAAAGGTTGGTAAGATGCAGACTGAATATAAATCAACCTGTGAATAGTGAGTGTGATGTTAGATGACTGTGTGTTTTCTCCTTGTGTCCCAGAGAGTTAGGTAAGCAGTAATTCAGGAAGGGGAAAGGACTATTCAGCCTTTAAGGTAGGATGTTCACCTGCCACATTAGAGCCTCTGGGTTTGAATCTCAACAGTGGTGGCTCCAGAGGGAGGGCCTGCCGCCCTTACGGGAAGCCTGGGTCGAGTTCTCAGCCTCCAGCTCCCAGCCCTGGCCATTCCAGGATTTTCAGAGTGAACCAACAGATAGGAGTCTCACTATCAACTTGTCTCTGTCTCTCGAATCTTTGAAAATTTGGGAGTTCAGGAATCAAACCTAAAACTTAAAATTTACATTCCTTTAGGTTTTTTTTTTTTTAAGATTTATTCATTTTTATTTAAAACACAGATTTTCAGAGAGAGAAGGAAAGACATGGAGAGCAGTCTTGTATGCACTGGCTCACTCCCTAAATGCCTGTAATGGCATGAGCTGAGCCGAAACAAGGCTGGGAGCCAGAGTTTTTTTCCAGCTTCGTACACGGGTGCAGGGTCCCACGGGCTTAGGCCATCCCCTGCTGCTTTCCCAGGCCACAGAGAGATGGATTGAAAATGGAGCACTTAAGACAGGAAGTGACACCCATTTGGAATGCTGGTTCCTGTAGGTGGAAGCTTAACCTGCTATGTCACTTTGCTGACCAGCTTTCTTTTTTTTTTTCTTAAACTTTTCCATACTTCCAATTTCCCTTTGCCACAATCTTGCTTTTTTTTTTTTTAAAACTTTATACACTTTTCTTCAGCTTTTCAAGATTTATTTATTTTTATTTGAAAGGCAGATTTACAGAGAAAAGGAGAGACAAACAAGATCTTCCATCTGCTGGTTCACTCCCCAAGTGGCCGCCACGGCCAGAGCCAAGCTGATCTAATTCGGAGCCAGGAGCCTCCTCTAGACTTCCCACACAAGTGTAGGGTCCTAAAAGGTTGGGCCATCCTCTACTGCTTTCCCAGAGCATAAACAGGGAGCTGCTTATGGGAAATGGGGCAGCTGGGACATGAACCGGTGCCCATATGGTATCCTGTCATTTGCAAGGTGAGGACTTAGCCACTAAGCTATCGTGCCAGGTCCGTCGACTTTTTTTTTTTTTTAATTTTTATTTATTTTTAAAGAGTTTTTATTGTTATTTGAAACACAGTGTTAGAGAAAAGGAGAGTCAGAGATCTTTGATCTGCTTGGTTCACTCCCAAAATTGCCACAATGGGCAGAGCTGGGCTGCTCTGAGATTGTTCCAAGTCTCCCTGTAGAATTATGGGTGCGAGGACTTGGGCTATCCTCCACTGCCTTTCTAGGCTATTTGTGGGCAGTTGATTAGAAGTGGAGCAGCTAGAAATTCAACAGGTGTCATAGGAGATTCTGGTCCTGCACGCGGAGGCTTAGCATGCTGTGTCGCAGCTCCAGTCCCATCTTTTTTTTCTTTAAAAAAAAAAAAAATAATAATTTGGGAGACAAAGCTGCCATATATCTGTTTACTCCTCAAATATCCATGATGGCCCGGGCCGGGCCGGGCCGGGCTATGGCCAAAGGTAAAACACAAGCTGGGTCAGTTACCTGTGGCACTGCTGCTGCCTTCCAGTTCCGAGGAGGCATGGAACCCAGACGCTGGTCTTAAGCAGGGGCTTAGCCACTAGGTCCTTTGCGTGGAAGTTGGCAGGTGGAATTCCCACAGCCATGCAGCGCTGTCTCACAGATCTCTTACTTGGGAACTAGAAGCCTGCGCCCGGCAGCAGAGACCTTCGTCTTTGTGGGTATGAGTCTGTCTGTCTTTGCAGCCACGTTCATTTTCTCACGTTTCTCTTTGTTGCCTGGCAGAAGGCAAATACAGGGCTCTGAAAATGGAATTTTCTCTTCCTCCATCTACTTATGCCACCATGGCCATCCGAGAAGTGCTCAAGATGGATACCAGCATCAAGAACCAGACCCAGCTGAACACAGCCTGGTTCCGCTGAGTGTGACCTGCTCCGTACAGAGTGTGCACTGCCTGGCTTCCTGTTCCTTTTCCCTTAATGCTGACCTGAAACAGACTTTGAACCTTTGTGCTAAAGGTTGTTTTTTAAATATCTTTATTGGTTTGAAGAAATAATTTGCAGCGTTTTTGTGTATAAACATATCTTGACGATCCTAATTTTAGCTCAGAGGATATAAATTGTTCAGAATATATTTCAGGTGCTTAAGTCATAGCAAAATATCAGTTTTAGTGGCTTTCGAAGTTAACAGAGGAGTTTGATTTAAAATAGCAATTTTTGGTTTTGCTGCTACGCCCTCAACGGAGAACTGTTATTTTTAACACATGCCACCTAGCGTACCATATGTTTGAAGGGCAAATCAGAAGCAGATCTTGACTATGGCTGAATAGATTGAGAGCCCCCATCTGTGAATGTGAACACAGCACTTGCGTGGTTTCAGTGATAATGAAGCATCTAGTGTTGTACCCACACGAATGACTGTCGCCATTCAGCTGATGTAGCTGATTCAAGAGCGGGTCCGTGCATTGCTGAGTTGTTGTGGCTTCTGCGTTTAGCTGATCAACACCTGATGCCAGAGTTGCATCGATGGGACCTTTTTCTTGATGGAAGCCCGTGTGGCTCATTTAATGAGTTAAGGCCTAATTCTTAACTCTTGGTGCCTTCTCTGTCCAGAACTCTTCGCACAGGGTCAGACTTTGCTCAGAAACAATGGGGGAGAAGAAAACTTGGAAAATTTACAAGGGCTGCTTCTGCGAAAAGCATTCACCCTCTCTCACCAGTGGCTTAGATATTTCCTTTACTGGCTGCACATAAAACTCTTCTCTGGGGTGTGAAAGGAGAAACAGGCCTTTCCAAAGTTATGTAACATAATGACCAATTTTTATTTTTTATTGTTTCTAAACTCAAATGTAATAAATATTTTTAAAAAAACAACTTTTGTACTGGATATATAAGTCCAACTTTAAAAAAACTAAGACTCGGGCCTGGCGCGGTGGCCTAGCAGCTAAAGTCCTTGCCTTGAATGCACTGGGATCTCATATGGGTGCTGATTCTAATCCCAGCAGCTCCGCTCCCTTCCAGCTCCCTCTTGTGGTCTGGGAAAGCAGTTGAGGATGGCTCAATGCCTTGGGACCCTGCACCTGCGTGGGAGACCTGGAAGAAGTTCCTGACTCCTGGCTTTGGATTGGCACAGCTCCAGCCATTATGGTCATTTGGGAAATGAATCATCGAATGGAAGATCTTCTCTGTCTCTCCCTCTCTCCATATATCTGACTTTGCAATAATAAATAAATCTTTTTTAAAAAAAATCCGGTTTCTTTAAAAAAGAAAAAAACAAATATATATATGGCCTGATGCAATACCCTAGTGGCTAAATCCTGCCCCGGGACCCTGTGTCGGTACTAGATTATGTCCGGCTGTTCCAGTTCCCTTCCAGCTCCATCATCATGGCCTGGGAAAGCAGTAGGGGATGCCCCAAAGGACTGGGATACTACACCCATATGGGAGACCAGGAAGAAGCTCCTGGCTTCTGGCTTCAGATCAGTTAAGCTCTGGCCATTGTGGCTACTTGGGAAGTAAACCAGTGGACGGAAGATATTTCCTTCTATCTCCTCCCTGTAAATCTCCCTTTCCAATAAAAATAAATATACATATTTTAAAAATGAATATATGTACATGCATTTCTACCTATATATCTGTTTATCTTGTGTTTTGCGCAGAGGTTGCTTTATATCAGAGCATAAGATATTTGTCTTTGGGACTAACTCACCTCACTGAGCATAATGGTGTCTAGTTGGGGCAATTTTGTTGCATGTTGTAGAATTTCTTTGTTTTTTTTTTTTACATTGCATTTTGTGAGACAGTTTCATAGGCTCTGGGATTCCCCCATCCCCTTCCTGTACCCTCCCCCCATGGTGGATTCCTCCACCTTGTTGCAGTATTACAGTTCAGATTAAATCAAGATTCTTTCGTTGCAATCATATACCAAGCATAGAGTCCAGCATCTTATTGTCTAGATAAATTCAACAGTTTCTTGGGGAGACCTTCTCTGGTCTGAAGGTAGAGCTGGCAGAATATCATCCCGATCAATTAGAAGCCCCAGCACAACATCAACCACAACATTTACAACATTATGGAATTAATTGACATGGTATTGAGTGATCAGTACGTTAAAACAATGCAAGTTCTTAACCACATCCTGATTTGAACATGTGGGCTAAGTGAGGGGACAGAAGAGGCAGGTGATTCTGCACTCGGACCTTCCTGGATTGGATGAAGCCCAGAAACCTGTCACTCGGCAGTCCCTGGAGGGGAAATCACTTGTACATGCAGTAATCATTTTGGCTGCAAAGTTCCAGACTCTTTTTATTCATCACATTAACTCACTTCTGAGAGTATTTAAGCTAATAGTAAAAACTCTATAATAGTCCCTGTACAATGATTTTTTTAAGGAATTGTAGTAGGTTCAATTATTTTTCACATTATTGCAAGTAAACACATTTTATTGAAATTTAACGAACAGTATGGATTATTTGTAGTAAATTCAGATGGCTTTCATTTACATTGAAGATTCCTCAAAAGTTTAGCTTGGCCAGCCCACCAGGTACGTTTAACGTAAAACTTGCAGGATCTGGGAAAACAGAGCAAGGACATCTTGGGAATAGTTTACCTTTGTCCTTGGCCTTGAGGTTTTACATAAGAAGCAGCTGGAGGAGCACCAAATCCATCGATGATACTGACAAGTAACTAACTAGTTTTAAACACGCAGGATGAGGTGCAGAAATAGTAGGAGCTGGCAAGGTCATTAGAACTGGCTCACATCCAGTTCAGAGCTGCAATGCCCGCCGGGCCCAGTGCACTTGAAGGCAGGTGGGAAGGACAGCTGTGAACAGAACAAGCAGAACAGGAGAGGGTCCAAGTGCCCTGCCAACCACTGACTGGCCACTCAGGAGAGATGGGGTTGTAGGGCCTGGCTGCCTGTCTGTAGCACTCTGTGGGTTGGGTACTTCACATTCTGTGCAATACCAAGATGATTCATGATATTTGTTAAAACCCACAAACCTGCACTGCACAAAGAATGAACCCTAATACAAACTATGCAGCTTAGTTCGTAATTTAGGGTCTTTTTAAAAATCACTCATGAAATGTATCATGATGAAGATATTAGTAACATGGGAAACTGTTGGGGAGACAGGGGGTATGTGCTAACCTGTATACTACCAGCTCAGTTCATTTGTAAACATAGAATAGTTTTAAAATGTCTGTTGAGGGCCTGGCGTGGTAGCCTAGTGGCTAAAGCCCTCATCTTGCATGTGCCGGAATCCCATATGGGCGCTGGTTCTAATCCCAGTGGCCCTGCTTCCCATCCAGTTTCCTGCTTGTAGCGGGGGGAAGCAGTTGAGGACGGCCCAAAGCCTTGGGACCCTGCACCTGCGTGGTTCATCACAGCTCAGCACAGATGGCTGTTTGTGCGTTATCCAGAAAGGGTGTTCAGGATCCTACTAAGGAAGCAGGCTTTATTGAGGAAAAGGCAGAGGATCCAAGAGGCTGCAACTTCGTAAGTCAGGTAAATTAGAAAAATGTTGAATGTATGGGGATTCATTTATGTATTGAACGCTGTCCATCCTTACCCCATCCATTCAGCATCCCTAGTTGCAGATGAATTGGAGTACTGTCTTCAGGTGAGATCCCTTTGCCTTACATGGAGTTTTCTATGTATCTGCGTTAGAGCTAGCTGAGAGGGGCACCCTTGGTCCCACCTGTTGTCCTCTTCGCCCTCGTGAGGCTCAGCAGTGAACTGCAGAAGTAGAGAATGAATGAGGTTTACAGGTCATGCTGGATATCTAGTGCCCCGTGTGCCTCAGCATCCATGCCTTGTCTGATGTCCTTGTCTGGTCTCCCTGCAACTCCCCCGTCCTGTCTGAGCAGCTGAAAATCAGTTCTTGATTCCTTTATTCCCTCCATCAGATACATTGCATGCTCTTATTATCTGAGAAGTTACAGAAGTTAAAGAATATACTCTCAGAACCCTCCAACCAGTACCACTGTCTGTGTGGGAAAACACTCATGCTAGAGAGAAGGCAGATCCCAGACAGCCAGTGCGAGAACAGGGTGGATTTCACAGCCCAGTCGGCATCCTAGAACCGAATTGGGTGCCATTTTGCTTAAGGAGGCAAAGGCAAACGAAAGGACTGATCATACACTGAGCTGGGAGTGAACTCATTTCTGACTCAGTGAACTGCAACAACATGGCATTCTACAGGTTCCACCCAGGGCAGGTCTGGGTAGCTCTCAGACCTGACGGCCAGCACATCAAGAACTCTAGTAGTGACACGTCAGGTGCCATTCTGTATAGTGTGGCAAAGAATTTAAGACTGCAGGGGGACAACAGTGAGCTGTGCATATGCTGAGCTTGATGAGAACTCATCAAGCTCATTGCACCGCACTGACAACCACAGGAAAATAGTACCAACTATGGCATTGTATGGGTCAAAATAGGTCCATGTGGCCCTAGATCTAAGGTCCAACAGGTTCCTACCAGATCAGCACCACCAGCAACCTAGCTATATAGCACACCTGGAATCTGCGTAATCCTGGACCTGCTCCAACTGCACCTGGGACATGTTCTAGATCATGTCCAACTCGCTAAACTCTGATTTTTGATTTTCTGTGCCTAAACTTGGAATGTGCTGTCTGGTTAATTATCTTTAGCCCTCTACAATCATACTTCTGTACTTCTGGTATTCAGCGGAACAGCAGAACAGCACATAGTACAAGCAGAAATTCCTAAATATGGGATTGCTTTATTCTTTTGCATTTTATCTATCTATCTATCTATCTATCTATCTATCTATCTATCTATCTATCTATCTATCTATCTATCTATCTTTCTATCTATCTATGTATCATCTTCCAGGAGAAGGGAAGCTTGTTATGGTCGGGCACTATGTGTGTCTACATTGGATCAAATCCCAGAAGCTTTCCATACAAGGTGGGTGCTAGATTCATTCACTGAGGCAACGAATGACTGATGCTTGGGTTTATTTCAGAGAGCTGGTTTCAGGTTCTGGCCTCACTCGTGATTTCAGCTTCCTGCTAATACAAGCTCTGGGTGGAAGTAGTAGCCAAGTCCCTGCTAACTATATGGAAGATTTGGATTGCGTTTTCCCAGATTCCAGCTTCAGCTGGGCCCACTGCACGCTATTGTGTTTGAGGAGTGAGGCAGCATTAATCAAATAAATAAATAAATAATTTTAAAAAGGACATAAAATTGATTGGGTTTGATTAGATGTTATAGATAAATAGATATCATTTATCTAAACTTTTACACAAATTTCTTTTAAAAAATTGCTCTAGCAAGTCAAGGAAATCTCTGGCCTGTTAATAGGCTGCTGGCTCACACTTTTCATAAGGTATTTGAGAAATAAGTGTTGTATGTCTCGAAATAATGATCTGAAAGCCCTTGGTAAAATACAATCGGAGATACCTTGGCAGTGTCGCTGCTGCCTGTACTGCCTCTGAGGGATCCAGTATGTTCTGGGTTCTATTACTCTGGTCTTAATCGCAGCACTATACGGATATGTGCTAGATGATGAACATAAAGAACAATGTGAACGCAATGTGGAAAAAATCCCCACACACAGAACTTCTAAAAAGTGGTTTGAATTAAATGTTTTCATCTTGAATTGATTAATTTGTTCCATTAAATGTTCAGTTTGGTTTGTGTGTGGATAATTATTTATACACATTGCATGTTCCTGTGGCAAGGGATCACCTGCCACGTCATCAGGTTAATTACGGATCAGAGGGAGCCCGTGCCTAAGGATAGGTCAGAAAGAGTGAGTGCGTGCTCCTACACTGACGATCGATGGGCCTCTCAGTTCCCGCCCTAGCAAACTGGCCAGAGCCGAGAGCCGAAACCTGCATT